TGGGCTCAAGTTGCAGCCCAGAGATTTCCTTATTTTATAATGAAAACCCCCCCCCCCAAAACAAATCCCACTTACAGGCAACAGATTCGAGCAGAAATGGGCACAGCCTGCTTTATAAATATGTATAAGTGCAGTACGCTAACATGTGTTAACCTCCTGGTGATCGCGCCCGGTCATTATTATGAACAGGCTTTGACCCAGCTGACTGCAAAGTGTGTCTTGTCCCTCCAAGAGATGCTGTGACAGCCACGCTAACACCCCCACTCCCCCCCTCCCCCGCTGAACAAGTCAGACTGGGTTCAGTGGACACTGAGGGGCAAAGAAAGGTCACAGTAATAACTCTAATAACTCTTAAGCCCCTGAGGGAAATATCTACCCCCCATCTAGACAGAGAGAGAGAGAGAGAGAAAATGTACAATGTGTGCAGGCGGCTGCATTTCCAGTCAAGATGTTCTCTCTAAATGTTCCCCGCTTGTCATTGAAGTATGGTAATGCAGTTTGACAGTCAAATAATTCACCCAGATCTTTACAGGTGATAAATTCCCTTTAAAAAAAAGAGGAGGGTTTCTGAGCAGAATACATTACAGCTTCAGCAAACCTCTTTCTTTCTTTTTTTTTCGCTCTGCTTTCCACAAGGCCGTCACCTCGGCATTAATAATCCATCGCCCCCACGTTACATTTTAGCCATCGTTGTGTGAACGTAGACTCGGCTGTAGTTTAAAAAAAAAGCAAGCATTAAGGAGTAGCCTTGTTCATGACCCCACGCTGCAGATGTTGGGTGATGGGGGAGTAATGAGAGGTGACAACCAAGGCAAACAAATACTCCTACAGCAGCTGTATGTGACCTACATTTGAGGGGGGCGGGGAGTGGACCTGGAGGCCAGCGCAGCGTATAGTGCGGCGCTCACACGTGAATGGTGTCTGGAGTAACACACTTTGGGAGCGGATATGAGATGATGGGGAGTCGAGGCAGTCACGCTGCTGCTGCTGCTGCTGCCGCCACAGAAAGGAAACGCTGCTCGAGGGCTGTGTGAGCTTCAGGCTCAAGTTCATCTGTGTAACGTCCATATATGCGCTCACACCAGACACTACAGCAGATGTGATTAGAGGTGCATCCATGTTTGCTTGCTTTTAAAAAAATATATTTTTAGGCACTTCTCCAGCGTTAGGCGCCAGGTTGAATTTATCAGAGGTTTCAGAAAAGTGTTTTCTCTCTTGCAATTACCACTTGGATGTCGATGTGAACAGTTTGTAGCCCCTAAATACAGTAAAGATATAAAATGTGGCACAAGTCTGGATGCTGCTGTGATGGATGTTTGTTAGGGCTGAGCTATTTTATCGATC